GGAGTATCGGCACCTGGTACTGAACAAAAAGGGCTTCACCAGCACATGGTACTGAATAACAAGGGCAGTACTGGCACCTGGAACCAAATAACAAGGGCAGTATTGGCACCTGGTACTGAATGACAAGGGGAGTATCGGCACCTGGTACTGAATAGCAAAGGCAGTACCGGCACCTGGTACTGAATAACAAGGGCAGTACTGGCACCTGGAACCAAATAACAAGGGCAGTATCGGCACCTGGTACTGAATGACAAGGGCAGTACCGGCACCTGGTACTGAATAACAAGGGCAGTACCGGCACCTGGTACTGAATGACAAGGGGAGTACCGGCACCTGGTACTGAATGACAAGGGGAGTACCGGCACCTGGTACTGAATGACAAGGGGAGTATCGGCACCGGGTACTGAATGACAAGGGGAGTATCGGTACCTGGTACTGAATGACAAGAGGAGTATCGGCACCAGGTACTGAATGACAAGGGGAGTATCGGTACCTGGTACTGAATGACAAGGGGAGTGTCGGCACTGGGTACTGAATGACAAGGGGAGTGTCGGCACCTGGTACTGAATAACAACCACCTGAAGCTCCTGAATAACCAGCACATCTTTTTTCCCACTTCAAGTACTGGTTCCGCTCCTCTTAGGATGCCTAGAACAGCTCCCCTGGACGTCCATGAGATGGCATCCTTATGATATTCCCAAACCACCTTTACTGATTGTGATCCTGGCATCTTGTTCTTTTGGTCATTACCCAAAATTCAATGCTGCAGATGCTGATTTTTTTCCAACATTTTTATTCAGTGGTGGCCTAATGGTTAGGGAAGCACACTTGTGATTGAAAAGTTGTTGGTTCGAATCCCCGACCAGCAAGGTACCACTGAGGTACCCTGAGCAAAGTACTGCCTTCAGCTGTCCCTTGCTATGTCACATATGGGTTAAATGCAGAGGACACATTTCATTGTTGTGCCATGGTGTGTCAACAATGACAACTAATCACTTTCACTAGGTTCTTCATACTCACTTAATTAGGATGTATTTGAATTCCAGGTCAGATGAAACCAAAAAGACAACAGAGTCTGCAACAGCAGGGATGATACCTCTGGCACCCCTAATTATAGTGGTATCAACTTGCCTGTTAATAATAAACAGATAACAGGAATAGTCCACAGAACCTTAAAATAAGGGGTGGTGTGTGTGGTTCTGTGAGTTACGATTGGAAGGCTGCTGGTTTGAATCCCATATATGGAAGAGTGATCATATGACCATTGAACCCTTGAGCAAGGCCCTTATCCCCAAAACTGCCCCAGAGTTCCTGGAAAAATGGCTGACCCTGTGCTCTGACCCCAAGCTTAACTTACATAGAGGTGCAATATGGGATATATGCGAAACAAGCAATTCCCATGTATTTGTACAATCACCATTACATGGAAGATCTCCTGCTCATGTTTATAAATATAACCATATCTCAACAGCTTGAGATCATCAGGAACTCTGGCATAACCAGATCTCTTGCAATTATGGCTAGGAATGCCTCGCAAGCTAGGTCAATGTTGAATCATGCTGCCATCTGGTGGTTAGTATGGGGAAGGCCAGTAAATGTGGCCGTGTTGGGATCAATGGTAATCCGATTCTAACTTTAAGATAAAAAGTCTATCAGCTCATATAGCTTTCATTAAATATTTTCGCTTAACAGTTGAGAGTGCCATCACTGATTCCAGTGTGTTACAGAAATAGATTGTAAGCTTCCTGCAACTCAGTTATTCAACCCATTGCATAATCCTCATTTTGCAATTTAGGCTAATTGTGGTCACTTCAGAGTAGAATCTATACACGTTAGCTGAGTGTTCATTCTGCACGTTGCAATTAGCTTACGGAAAGAATATTAACGACGCTGGTAAATAATAATAATAATAATAATAATAATACAAATCTTCATTCTATTAAATAACCCAAAGTTTATTTCCAGGACTGAGGCCAGTAATTTAAATGCAAAAATGAAAATTAACGGACTACATTTTTTAACGCCACCCCTTGTTCATTTCATATCACGTTGTTAAAAATCAAGCTGAAATTATATAGCCTAGACCAGTTCTGTGTAAACACTTTCCGAGCTCCGGGTGCGGGATTCCCCTTTGGTAAATTTTGCCGACCGGGGGATCCCCTCAGTCAATTTAGTGTGATCGCTGGTAATAATAGAAAACTCAGAAAAACCAAAGCGGATCGACGGTATTGATTATGGCAACATGGGCCGGTGCTCAGAGTCCCCTGACATTCATGGACTTTGGATTTTCCCTTGACCACAGTTTACACCTTATTTAGCAAACAAGCCCACTATTTCTTTTCCCATATGTTAGGGGGGGTAGCCAGCTGATCCCAGAGTAGGGAGAAAGCAGTTTTGCTTTCTCCCTACTTGGGGTTTTTTGGTTCCTCTCCTCTTTCGTCATCTCGAATTCTTTCTTTAATTTCTCTTTCTTTCATTTTCCCTGTTTTGTATTGTTCTCTCTTAATGATGTTGTAATGTGTCACAACACAACCACGTAAAGCGCCTTGGGGCGACTCTGTTAAAGGTACCGCATAAAAATAAATTGAGTTGAAATAACGATCTCGTGTTTTTTCCATCATTAATGAATCGTGACAAATCTTTTACCTGAAGTAGCTATTTGTTCATAATTTGTACTTCTGTGGTAATTTTCACTTCTGTAATTTCTAAGTGTCTGTGTGTGTGTATGCATACAAGTACAGTGCTACCGATTTTTTATGGGTCATTCACTGCATCTGTCCACTTCTCCTCCTTTTCTGACCATTTCCCGCTGGCATGCGTTAAGGAATCACGGTCTTCTAGCTACTGAATAGTCTGTTTATCCCTCTTTTAAGCTAGTGTCCTGTAGCGTTGTGCAGCTGGCTATGTCAGCAGACTTTTTAGCCACATTATGAATAATGCCTCTCTTCCCTGGTAAAGCATTTTTAAAGGGCTCCCTGTGTCCTAGATAACCCAAACTCTCCTTTTGTTCGAAGCCCACGTTCAGTAAGAGAGCACAAAGACGCGTCCCAAATCCTTTGTGAAGATAAGTTTACAATTACATGACAGAATGTTTTTTAAAGGCATGTGAACGGCAGTGAACCCCAGCTTCTCTGCTGCAATGCATTATGGGTGCAAAGTAGCCCCAGTCTAACAATCCGTAGCTAATAAAACCTGTGCCTAAAAATAAACGCAGATCAATTCACTGAATATCTCATTTATTCATTAAGAATGTTTTAGATGCCAGACATGTTCTAGACTTTTGAAAGAACATTGTTTGTTTTACATAGAATATTGTAAGGAAAGTTCTCGCCAGTTGTGTAACAAAAAAAAAGCTCTAAAGCAATGGTTAGACTGTGTATACAATCACCCAAAGCAAGTAAGAAGTGTCCCAATGTCACCACAAACTGTCAATGCAGTTTTGCAAGTATGCGGCCACAGAACATCGTTACAAAGGACAAGATGTAAAGACGACTAAAGACAGAGAGATTCAACAATATATCGACACCAGTATGTGGACATGCACTATTAGTTAGAGTAATTGCTTAATTAAGGCAAAACCCACAAATATTAGCAAGCAGAATGAGTTGTTGCACAGAACAGGTTAGTGACTTTTCACTTGGCACTATCACAGGGAACCATCTGTCCAACAAGTCAGTTTGCCATATTTCTGCCCTGCTAGCGGTGCCCTGGTCAACTGTGAATTAAGTGATTGAGAAGGTTAAAACATCTGGGAGCAAGTTCAGTTGTGAAGTGGTAGGACACACACGCTCACAGAAAGGTGACCTGATCACCCAACATCAATACAAGCTCACAGAAACCTGAATGGCATTAAATCCCATTCCAGCATCTAATGGGAAGCCTTCCCAAAAGAGTACAGGCTACTATAGCAACAATGGGCCAATCAACCTCATATTAACACATTTGGTTTCAGAATAAGGTGTTGGACAATCCTGTGTCCACATACTTCTGACCATATAGTGTATATTGATAGTGAACTTTCACGGTCCACAGGCATGCATAGTGACTGCTTTCTTTGCCATTGAGAGGCTTCTCTTAAGTTAGCCCTCCTTGGAGAGTGAAGCCTGGGGTCTGAGCACATAGCCAGCCATTTATTGGGCGTCCGTGGAGCATTTAGGTGGGTTAAGGGCCTTGTTCAAGAACCCAGCAGAGGTGTAACAATTTTGCCAAATATGGGAATCAAACCAGTGATCTCTGGATTACAGGGACAGACCCAAACACCAGACACACTGTGCCACACACTGGTAACCATTTTTAGCGGTGAAGTGCGCGTCCTGTGATGGACTGGCATCCCGTCCAGCGTGTCCCCTGTCTCGTGCCCTGTGATGGACTGGCATCCCGTCCAGCGTGTCCCCCTGCCTCGTGCCCTGTGATGGACTGGCATCCCGTCCAGGGTGTCCCCCTGCCTCGTGCCCTGTGATGGACTGGCATCCCGTCTGGGGAATCCCCCTGCATTACTGTAAGATGACTCGCTGGTGTCAGCAATGAATCCATCTTAATTAGGCAATCTGGCTGATTAATAGGGCCGTCCATATACCTTTTGCCATATACTCTATATGTGAATGTCACAGATTAACCTATAATTAAAATCTAGAATTCCCCCTTATTAGAATTTCACTCCTCTCTAATTTTAAGGATTTGCGTCACCATACTTTCACATTCATTTTCAAATATATTTCAAGTCGTTAAATGGTCCCCAATTCCTCTGATTTCATAGGAACCTCAGTCCTTTCTCTTGTTTTGACGGTTACAGCATACATTAACTTATAATACTAATATACAGCTACAGAAAAAATTAAGAAACCACAGCACAAATTTTTGTTTTACTCATTTCTTAATTTATGGGTGTCCATCTGTGAATAATTTTTATTTTATTTTTTTTGCAAACTGCAGCCAGATTGTCTGTTTCCCATTAATGAAGAGCTTCTTCATTGCTTTATATGACTTCAGTCCTGCTTCTAGCAACCTGATATGAACTGTCCTAGCAGTGCACCTCACATCTGCACTTAATGTTTCCCATTCCTTTTATTCCTTTTGAAGGTCACTTGATGTCATCCTCATGAGAAACTATCAGATAAGTTAACGTCAGCTCTGGCGTTAGAAAGTCGCTTCTGGTCGTATCAAATGTCTCCGGCTTCACCTTATTCTTGTGTTCTGCTGTCTTGGAAGCAACCTGCTGCTCAGCGTAGCCTTCTGCCAGCAGAACCAGGATTAAATCAGGATTTAAAAAACACAGATTTATTTAAAAACATACAGTGGTCTCAATTTTTTCCGCGGCTATATATATATAAAAGGATATATGTATGTATGATTCGGAACAGAACTTAAATCTAGCCTCCTTTACCCGAATGATTTTTTTTCTTCAGCTTTTCTACTCCTACTCCTTTTCTGAGACCACCTCTGTCATTAGCTGGGAGGAGCGAAACCCGCTAGGTTCCCTTACATCCCTGCGATGGTGGACCGAGAAAGTAACACTTTACCATGGCCGCCTTAAGCATCCACATTCTCGTGCTCTTTTTGTGCATCTTGTTGGTTTTGAAGCTCTGCGGCTTCAGGAAAAGGTGAGTGTTTATTGTTAATGCATTTGGACGGCAAGTTTCATAGCACGTTGATGTGTTTGTCGTTGTTTAATTAAAGATGCCGAGTTGCTTGTACAGCGCTCGGCTCACCGTATGTATATGTTCTTATTTCTGAAAACTTCAGATGAGAGTCGCGATGTTATTATTTTTAGTATTGTTGTTGTAGCGACTAATAATAATAATAATAATAATAATAATAATAATAATAATATACTGATGCCGTCTTACATTGGCTGTACATCGTACTCAGCAGACATCACTAGACAGAAACGATCCTAAATAATCTAAATCATTCGTATGTGTTTACTCAAATTTATTTACTTTCATTTTCTTATATTATAGAAACCAAAATTCAATATAACTACTGGTAATAAAGATTTTACCTGCCTGACCTAAATGTCTTCACCCCAATAGGCAACAGGATGAACCTCCGCTAATGAACGGCTGGATCCCCTTTCTTGGCGTCGCGCTGGAATACGGGAAAAACCCCCTGGAATTTTTGAGGTCGATCCAGAGGGAATACGGAGACATTTTCACTTGTAAAATAGCCGGGAAATACTTCACCTTTGTGACGGATCCTTTCTCCTATAGCGCGGTGTTTCGCCAGGGAAGGAATCTTGACTTCCAAAAGTTTGCACTGGGATTCTCCCGGAAGGTAAAGTTCACGCGCTGCAGTCCCCTTCCACTCCCATCAACATAAATCAGTCTAATTAGTCGCGAAAGACTGGTACAAAAATAGCTTATAAAAGTGTACTAGAACGTGTTTATTCGGCAGTGGTCTTCACCAGTCGATTATAGTGCTTCACAATGTCTTCTTTTTGAGTTGCTCTCTTCAATGGTTTGCCTTGGTAACAAGGTTCAGTGGAAAACAACGCAGGCTGTTTTTTCTTCGCTTACACTTTCTTCAGTGACAGGATACATGGACAATCCTAGGAAGTGCTGTGAAATCTGTGTGTTTTTAAGCTGTCTGTGTAGTTAGTAGTCCTCAAATATTAGAGTTAACTTAACCGTAACTTGTTTGAAATCCGTCATAAAGGGAAAGTTAAGTCTGTCTGTAGTGCAGACGTGTATCGTGCGGTGGTGAAGAATAAGGTCGACTTGTCATTCGTTTTAAGTTTTCCGTCTTATCCTGATTGAAGCTGTAATTACTGTTAAGCCCAAAATTACTCATACCCATGCCAAATAATGATCTATTATGAATTTCTATTTGTCCAATAGGTTTCTTCTGGCTCGAAATGGCATGCACATCTGACAAAAGATGGTAAAAGATATAAATGAAAAAAAAAAACTATTTGGATGTTTATGAAAAATGCCATGTTCAAAAGTATACATACCCTTTCTCAATAATCAATGGCAAAGCGTTTATTTTGCCATCACAGCAATCAGACGGTTCTTATAATTGCTAACAAGCATTTTGCATGTCTCCACTGAGATTATGGACTTTTTTGCAAAGATCTCCTGGTCCTTGAGGTTGGAAGGCTTCCTTGCCATCACTCTAGTCTTCAGTTCCCTCCACTGATTCTCAATGGAATTCAGGTCTGAACTCTTGCTAGGCTACTCCAAAATGTTGATATTATGTTCTGTTAACCATTTCTTGACCAATTTGGCTGTATGTTTTAGATCATTGTCTTGTTGGAAGATCCAGTGCTGCCTGAGGCCAAATTGTCCTGCCGACTGCCTGATGTTTTCCCCCAGAATCTTAATGTAGTCCTATTTTTTCATGATGCCTTTTACAAGACCAACCCAAAGCATTACATTCCCACCACCACGCTTGACCGTGGGGATGCTGTTCATGAGGTTGAATGCATTTCCGTTCTTTCACCAAAAGAGAGTTACGTCCCTGTGTCCAAACAGTTCCATTTTCATCGCATCCGATGACAGAATCAGGTCCAGGTGAGCGTTTGCAAAGGCTAGGCTAGCTCTCTCTCGCCTGTCTTGGAGAAGTGGAGTCCTCCTCAGTTGGCATCCATGGAGACCAGCCTTGTGTCCAGTATAGTGCCTGCCTGCCTTGTGTTGGTACAAGAATTTGTCAGGATGATCCTATTGGTGATCCTTGGATCCTTCTTGGCCTCCTGCACCACCATTCTTGCCAGCGCTGGGGTCACCTTTGGCTTCCTACCACATTCTTTAAGATTTTTCAAAGTTGGCATTTCTTGTACTTCTTGATTATCCTTTGCACGGTGGCTACTGGCACTGGAGACTTGGATATAACTTGGATATAACTTGTAAATAACTTTAAAGTCTTTCCCCATCTTGCGATCAGCCGCAATGCACAGCTGGAGGTCCTTACTAAGTTCTATGGTTTTATAGCCATGACTTGCAGTTGACTAGTAACCGATTACTGCATCAGCTGTTCTCCTTTTATAGTTGAGCTGAATTCTCTAGAACATGGTAATAATTACCAGGACCACCTGGAATGGTATAGAACAGCGGTGGGCAATCTTATCCGCAAAGGGCCGGTGTGTATGCAGGTTTATGGGATAACCTTTAGGTCAGCTGTTCAAAGCCAGGTGTGAGGACTCTTCAGCCAATCAGTCCTCTAATTAGTAATCTAATTAGGGTGCTACAGCGGCCCTTTGCGGATAAGATTGGTTACCCCTGGTATAGTAGCTCGCCTCTTGCATTTTCTCAAAACATTGCGCAATTTCAAGGGGTATGAATAATTATGCATATGGCATTTTTCTTAAAAACAAAAAAAAAAAGCATTAGGATTAATTAACTTTTTTATCAATGACTGTAGTGCAATTCTGTAGCATCCTTTGTCACATACTTATGTCATTTACTGCCAGATGAAACTATATTGGGCAAATAATACATTATATACATCAAAATTTCGACATGGGTATGAATAATTTTGTGCTTAACTGTATGTCTCTGGTGACAGTCTTTGGTACATTCTTTGGCTTGGTATTGCGAATATCAGGTCAGGCTGCCGATTTCGCGTTAGGCCGTGGGACGGTGGATGATGGGTGACAGAGACATGAAGTAAGGGCTAAAAAAACAAAACTAAATTGTCTGTGAGGTTTTTTTTTATGCTGGGTGAGTATTTCAAGACATTCAGCTTCCCACGCAAAATCCAGCCTTACTGGAAATGTTAAGTAAGATGTAATTGTTGACATTTAATTAGCAGACACTTTTATTAAAAGCACAGACAAGGGAGGATCAAAGACTTGCTTCAGACAGTCGCTTGCGAGCTTCACTGCCACTACCCCCCCCTCAGCAAACTCCACCACCCAGTTCCACTTTTGAACCAGACAATGTCACTCTACATGGTCTTTTTTTTGGTGGGGGGGGGGGGATAGGCTGGCAGTTTGCTTAGTTGCTCAGAAAATGGTGCTATGGGTCTAAGTCACCTAATTGGTTGCCCAGAATTACCTGAAGCAGTTGGAGTTAAGGGCCTTGCTCGAGAGCCCAAGAGATGAATCACTCTGGGATTCAAACCAATAACCTTCTGATCACCCTGACCCACAGAGCCACACACCAGCTGCAGTTACTATGTGTGTCATTTCCGGAATCCCCCCTGTCACACCTTTCATCTGCTGATAGCCACTAATGCTTTTTGCCCCTCAGGTGTTCGGCCATGCCGACTTCAACGCCCCCATGTACAGTGGGAGCTACAGGGACATCCACCCCATTTTCCGACAAACGCTGCAAGGGCCTGTCCTCCAGCAGCTCATCTCCACCATGATGGAGAACATCCAGATGGTGATCCGCAGGGACGACAGCTTCAACTGGGTCACCGAGGGCCTGCAGCGCTTCGTGGACCGGATCATGTTCGAGGCCGGGTACCTGACTCTCTTCGGCAAAGAGGATGAGGCGTTGGTCAGTGGCGGCGGCGGCCGTGGCGCCCCCCAGTGGCTGTCCATGAGACAGGCCATGGAGGACTTCCATGCCTTTGACAAGGCCTTGCCCGAGATGGCAGCCGGACTCCCCATACACTTACACTTGAAGGCCTTTCGAGCCCGTGAGGCACTAGCCCAGAAGCTCCACCACCGACGTCTGAAGAGGAACAAGTGCTTATCGGCTCTCGTCGAGAGGAGGATTCAGGCTTTTGATAAAATGGAGGAGCTCGACGAGCATGGCAAAGCCAGGACACACTTATGCATTCTGTGGGCTTCCCAAGCCAACACCTTACCTGCAACATTCTGGAGCCTGTACTACATGCTAAGGTAGGCTCACGGCATTGGATAAATCTGATTGGATAAATCTGATTGGATAAATTTAGCTGGAGAAACTTGATTGTATGTTTGTTTTTTCTCTAGTATTTGTTTTGATCCCTTTTATCCAGAATGACTTGATGACATGATGTAACGTTTTGCTCGATTGTTCTTGGGACCCCAACCAGGATAGATGGATAGCTGCATAGCATAGCATGCAAGGGTCCAAGTGTACAGTATAAGCGTCATTTTCCTTTTGACATCCATATATGAAGCCACTCATTGAAATTAATCTCTTCATGGTTAGTGCAGACTTCTAGTTGTGTTAATACATCTTATGTAACATGTTTATGGTTTAGATTTTTAAAAATCTGCCATTAAATAAAAAAGGTCAGATGAAGGTCAATGTCAATGTCAGTTTCAATTTAGGAGATGAATCTGATAGTCAGGACAGAACTGTGAACCCTCTCTGCATTTACCCCAGGTCTCCAGATGCCATGAGGGCTGCTCAAGCTGAGGTGGACCGAGTGTTGAGGGAGTCCGGCCACACGCCAGAAAACCTGGACAAACCGGTGGTCCTTTCTAAAGACCAGCTAGACGGCATGTTGGTGCTGGGTGAGTGAGTTCATACAGCGGTGATCCGGGGGTCTCCTGTTGGCCACTATCATCACTACACCCAAGCTGAAGCCCACAGACAGCCACTAAAAAATGACCAACTGCACCATTGTAGTAAATAGTAGGGGGACGTCTGACAACTCAAATGGTCCTGGTCCTTTGATCATGTTAATGTACCTCTGACTACGTTAAATATCAACTAAAAAAATAAACATGTTCCAGATTTAAGAGATGCTGAAGCAGCATGTTCTGCTAACCAGCCAGCTAACTACGATCTCCTGACTTTACTCACTAGCTATTTATTTAGTTTTTGAAACATCTGAGTAGGGGCAGTGTAGCTGGTTCATTGTGGTGGCACAATGTCATTATACACCCCCTTCATTCGTCCTACTTCTCACTCCATCCAGGAAGCATCATAGAGGAAGCCCTCCGGCTCTCCAGTGCTTCCATAATGATCCGCGTCGCCAACGAGCACTTCACCTTCACTCTCGATTCCGGCAAGATGGTTGCCATCCGCAAAGGGGATCACATTGCCATGTTCCCGCAGATGATGCACATGGACCCAGAGATCTACGAGAATCCCACGGTACATCCCACTCGTTCATGCCTCGGACCTCTTTCCCATTTGATAATCGGTTCATTATCATGTTGCATGATTAGTGTGATCATACTCAGTTTAGCACGTTATGAGTCAAAGGTACACCACATGGGCAAAAGTATTGAGACACACCTCCACCACTGTCCATAGTCAGTTGAAAGTGGCATCATTGCATCATTGCGAAGTGGACGCATGTAGTAACAACTGAAACTCTGCCACAAAGTGACAGACCATTTAACGTAACAGAGTGGGGTTGTCGAATTCTGAGGTGCATTGTGCGTAACATTTGCCAGCGCTCTGTTGACTCAATAACTGCAGTTCCAAACTTCCTCTGGCATTAGCTCCAGCACAAAAACTGTGTCAGGAGCTTCATGGAATGGGCTTCTATGGCCGAGCAGCTGCATGCAAGCCTCACATCACTAAGCGCAATGCCAAACGTCAGATAGAGTGGTGTAAAGGACTCCACCGCTTGTCTCTTAAGCGATGGAAATGTGTTCTGTGGAGTGACAAACCACGCTTCCCTGTCTGGTAGTCTGATGGACGACGCAGGGCTTGGTGGATATTTCTCTTAGGTACAGTGACAGATCCATAATGTGCTCCTGCCCTGAATATGACTGTTGGCTGCCTCCTGTAGGAATTCAAGTTCGACAGATTCCTGGATGAGAATGGGCAGAGGAAGACAGATTTCTACAAGAACGGCAGGAAGCTGCGGCATTTCCTCATGCCCTTCGGGTCCGGGGTCAGTGAGTGCCCCGGTCGCTTCTTTGCCATAAATGAGATCAAGCAGTTTCTCACGTTGACTCTCTGCTACTACGACATGGAGCTACAAGACCCTGCAATGCCTCCTTTGACCACAGACTGTACCAGGGCTGGTCTGGGCATCTTGCCACCCAAACAAGATATTTCCCTTAGATACAGACTCAGACGATGGGTCCCGACACACCTGCAAGCGCCACGTTAGCTGGTGCACTCCTGTCATCAGCTGGCGGAGTCTCGCTAACTCGTAATAGCTAACACGTTCAACTAAAATTTACATTTCGAACACCGTAATGTGACTTAGCAACTGTGTATCTTTGCTTGGAATTCCAGGTAGAGGTTTGGGATCATGTAAATGTTTTTTTTGGGATAGTAATTTTTGGACACCTGGAATACTTTGGAAACTGCGAAGTCTCTTGATGAGTCCCTGAGTCTTATTTCCCAGCAAGACATGAGTGCATTTACAGGAAAAAATACTTAAGTGGCTGATTATATACAGAGGATCCATGCAGGCGCGGGGCAACATTGGAACTCACCACAGCTGAAAGCGGATTGGCCCCCAGAATGCCTTCTCCCCTGTCACTCATCGATTCAAAACATATCATTGGCTAATGGTAAGGTTGGCCCGTCTTTATAAATTATAGCTTCTTAATCCTAGTATTACCCATGTAGTAGCATGGGAGCATGAAGGGAAAACAAACAGCTACTTTGAGAGCGTGGTACAATATTTCCCCGTTATTATTGTTTGAATGCGTTTTAAGACATTCTTACCATGTCTGGAAGTAATGGGAGAGACAACCTAATAAAATATGTAATAGGATGCTATTGTGCTTTCTGTTTCTTAGGGTACAGTATATTAAGCTGTGGCATCTGATTTATCTCTGTGCCCAACAGGCCTTCATATTGGTTATGTAAAGAACAATGCAGTTTGTTAATAAATCTGTTCCTTGACTGGAATCATTCTTGTACCTTTATTGCGAGATCAAAGTAAAAGTTAGTGATGACAACAACAGTAATAATAATGATTTTGAGGCATCATTTCAAATATTGTCTGCACTTTAAGCATGTGAGGACAACACAATTAACATGACCTTAACATCAGACTCAATGTGTGGAAGTTAGTACACAAATAGTGAATAATTTCCTTTAGTTAATGTATTTTCCAAATAATATAAAGCAAGAGTCAACAATTGGGGGGGGGGGGGGTAACCAAGGCCGTATATAATACATATATGGGGGGGCATTGTGAGCACATTGGAATACTCAGCGGTCGTGTCCCCCCAATATAAAGTATATTATAATTACGGCCTTGATGTAAAATAAAATTAAAATGAGCTTCTATTGCGAATACAGTTAAGTATTCGATTGTATTATAAACAATACACTTTTATAGAGGATTAATAGGAGATGCCCTCAGAAAACACTAATAAACGAATAAATGTGCGACGTACAGTTGTCCGGATTTGATTATTGAATAAACGTATCTTGTACCACATTAACATATGCACTCGTTATATGTGTGTGCACGTACCTACATTGTATTATAAACCAATTATATATAATACGCCCCGTATTGGACTGAATGATCAGTAGGATGCGAAGTGTGGATATTGACTGGAAAGCAGCGCAGATATGATGTTAGCAGGCAGCGGGCGCTCCGAGGGGGGCTCGGTAATAAGGATACCGCATGGATGTGGGATGATCAAGGTCGATGCTGCTCATCGTCAGCACGCCAGCATCCGGCCACACGGAGACATATACGCGCTTTATTTACAGCGGCCATTAAATCGGAAATCTGCCTCATCTGATATCTGGTGGCGGAAAGGCAAAGCCATACTAACGTCTTTAAGGTGGGTGCTCGTCATCGTGGCTATTTCTGCAGTATCTAATATTAATATTGGCTTTAAGCGAATTTGATACATCCGGTTTTTTTTTGTTGCCAGATGGATGTAAAATCTAAACAAAAAAGGGGAGAAAAAAACATACATCGTCCGCGGTGTTGAAAATTAATTCGGAGTTTTAATTTAAAATATTAAGAAATCTGTTCGAAATATTAGCGTACCCATAAATACTGCGTCAATTAAGAAATACATTTCTAAAGCACACTAGACTGAAGGGAATGGCAATTTGAGCGATAAAACAACGCCCAAACGACACAGAAGACAATATCTAAAGGTATTTATTATTTTATTTTATTTATAACATAATTACAAGACCGCTGTCATATGTAATTTTCACGGGATCGTCATTATAAAACGTGGCTTGCAGATCACGCCTAGAACCGCATCGCTGTCACCGCATACCGTAACTCAGCGGGATTTATAATATTAAATGCAAACATGAGTTAAAAATGCCATACGATATAGGCACGCATTTTTTTAAGCATCCGTTTTGTGTGTCGCATGGTATACCGTGACCTGGACTCTGTGCATATTCAATTAGGCTGCCAAGAGATACGCGAGGAGATGTAAAATATTAAAGGCCAGAAGCAGATTATTTACACAGCCTGTCCCTCTCCAAAGTGGCCAGGCATTCCACCCAGACCCCCCTCCTGGCAACAATGTCGCTGTATCCATCTTTAGAAGACATGAAGGTGGATAAGTTCATGCAGGTGAGCTACATAAAGACGTTTGGGTGTGAAGAAGAATCATGAATTTGGGAGTATTATTATTATTATATATTTTTTTTAATTTCCAAAATGCCCCGAATGTCCTGTGCAGGCGCAGAGCTCCTACGCGTCGGTCACGGCGAAGCAGGCGGCTCTCTCTGAAGCGGGCCAGACCTCCGGGGAAAACGGCAGCGGTAAGTCTAGGAAGGCAATTACTCCTCAGTCCACCAATAAGCATTTTGGGTCATTCTACCGACTTTGTCCATAGTCACTTAAAGCGGAATTACTATGTTTTGCTGTGTTCCGGGTTTGGAAACCTCTTTAAAATTGTTGATGGAATGCATTCTGACAGATCTGGAATAGTTATTCATGCTTGTGAATGTCTGTAGGGATGTTCAGATATGTGCAATGCACCTTTATCTCTGGAATCACATGATTGTGGGTATAGTTGTCTTAGGTTTATGCCTGGTTTATGAACCTATGTCCTCATGCATTCAGCATGGCGCAACCCCACAACATGACTATAGCTGGAAGTGTGCTTATGCACCCTCTAGGGTGCGGTGTGAGGCATAGCAGGTTGGGCCTCTGATTGTGATCAGAAGGTTGCCGGTTCAAATCCCATCATCAGCAGAATTGTCGCATGTCTGTTGGGTCCTTGAGCAAGCCCCTTAACCCCTTTAAAAATGCTCCAGGGGGCGGATAAACGGCCAGACCACAAGCTTTGCTCTCAACTGTATGTTTATGTTTGTCTCCAAGAAGCGCAAGATGGTGTATATGCATGCAAGTGTACTTGTGCAAATGGCAAATAAAGCATTGGTTTCATTTGCATCGCTGGAGCTGAGTTTGGGAGCCTTGGCTTAGGTAGGAGGGTTGGATGGGTATGTTCGTGGTTCATGTCTTGTGCTGCCCTGTTGGGATATACTGTCACAAAGACAGGAGCGACACACTCCGCTCCATAACATAGCTGCTCCTGAACAGAAGAAAATAGTGACCTTTTCTGCTGACATATTAGTTGTGTATTCAGAATGAGGTAAATGACTTTTTTTCCGAGGGCACATTAGAAAACAGACTTTTTTTCCCCTAGTTTTTGTCTCTCCCGGAAGTGCTGGCTCCATTGTGTGAGTTACGCCACTTTGGGGTTTTTTTATTGGATTAGAGGTATTCTGTGTTACTGAGCACCGCTTTAAAGTCCACCCAGGGTTTTACTGGGAGCCACTGAAGCGACTGACTACTGACAGAGCGGTCTCTGCAGGACGAATCTGAAGTACTGAAATAAACCATCATCAATGACCAGTTAGTCTGCAGTATTAGTGTAAAATATTAAAATGACCTTTGACCAGTCAATCTATAGTACTAATATAAAATGCTAAAATATTGTACCACTGACCTGGTTTAGTGTGTTTTGATGGAGGGATGGATGCATAGGATGTATGGATGGATTGATAACTGGATGGATGGATGGACTGATTAACCGAGGACTGGATGGATGATGACTGGATGGATGGATGAATGGATGGATGAAACAGGACTATGACCTGCAGTACTATGGTGGATTTAGGAGTAGCTGGAAGCTGCTGAGATCCCAGCTTGTGCTGGTTCCTGTCCCCCACCCCACAGTAATGTACTTGCATGCTTTCGTTTGTTCCCTCTGGCTTGCACCCCCCCTCCTCCCCCTCCCCCCAGGCCTCTACCCCAGACTGTACCCCGAGCTCAGCGACTTCATGGGCCTAAACCTCACTGAGGATGCCCTTCGGCAGGCTCTGTCCCCCCTGCCAGCTGCAGACTGCTCTGGGGTAAGGTCACCTCACCCTGTGTGCAAGGCACGGGCATATGGTATGTGCCTCTTACATATGGTTTGTTCCACTGTCACTTAACTGGTGGGTCGTGACCCAAAAGTGGGTCATCATTTGGTCACTAAATGCCTGGTTAAAAATAATCATTTTGAAAATGTTTCCCAATGTAGGACATCTTTAACAGCGCTTGAAGGCATTGTGTTACTGTCACTGTGCTCTGTTTGCTATTGCTGCGCTATTTTTTGCGGAAAAATAATGGGAAAATGGGTCGCGATTTAATGCCCAGGGAAACGTGGGGTCTGAATCGGTTGAGGAGCATTGGTGTAAGAGGCAGGTAGCTGATTGAAGACACACTGTGACACACAGCATTTCACTATATACAGACATGTTCATCATTAATGAGAAAATGTAGCATCTCTATGAAATTTTTGATGGGTTGCAGATTGTTCGTATAGCTCTAACGATAAGAATCTTTTTTGTAAAAAAATATATAAGGAATAAAAATGCCAGTAACACATTAACAGGCATAGAAATAAAATAAAATAAAGAAGTGTCAGTCCAGAAATATATGAGCAGTATTGGTGTAGCATTGCAAAATGGTAAGTGTGCAATATACTAAAGAGGTGCAAAAAGCAGAATGAATTATGACTGGCCTATGAATAAAGCACAGTATATCACAGTATATCACAGTATGTCACAGTATATCACTCACAGGGATAAAAGTCCCAACACAGAACACTGAAGAAAACTCAGTGTAACCAATCCAAGAGCACACAAACTCCGATTTCATGTTTATGTCAGTGTGAAAGTGAAAACTACTGGTGATTCAAAGGGATCAATGAGTCGTGTTTCAGGAATGATAAAAGTCTAACATCAAACAGTATCTACCAAAGACTAAACATCATATTACTAATAAATACTACTTAACTGGGTTGTTGAATAAACTTTCTGGAAATGGTGCTTTGGTGATACATATTTTTGTTGTGAAACGCCGTGCTGTCCAGAATGTTTATGTATTTTTTTTTTTATTTTTATAGCAGGTTGCTACGAGGCCATCTGCTCTCAGCTGCATGACTGCCCCAGTAACGGGAAATGACTGCGGCCTCCGCAGGGCCGAGATCAAGCAGGGCGTCCGCGAGCTCATCCTGTGCAAAGACATGGATGGCAAGATCGGGCTGCGTTTGAAATCTGTGGACAACGTAAGACCCCGTCCTCGACCATGGATAATGCTGCCTTCCATTTCAACTGGAAAGCTGAAAATTCCAAATTCCTTGTTGAACATTTCAAGTTAACTTGGGTGTGACGTGATTCCCGGGTCCGACTCCTGGCCTCCAAGGTTAATGGAGCGCAGTATAAGCATCATCAGTGTTGATAATGGATGTTAGTCTGAGGAAATATCAGTATCTCGTGCCTCCAGAGTTGGGGGTTCGAATTCCATCTTCGACCGTGCATGTGGAGTTCATGTGTTGTGAAAGTTTGTATCTAGGTAAATCGGTATCTGTCAGTCGGCCCAAATATATAAACATGCCCTTTAAGAGACTGAAGTTCCATCTGGGCTGTCCCCCACCCTGTGCATCCTGTGATGGGTTGTAGGGTCACCTTGATACTGCGCCAGATTCCAAAGTGAGGAAAGCGTGCCAGATCACACTGCAGGGTCAGCCAGTGGCCAGATTCCAAAGTGAGGAAAGCGTGCCAGATCACACTGCAGGGTCAGCCAGTGGCCAGATTCCAAAGTGAGGAAAGCGTGCCAGATCACACTGCAGGGTCAGCCAGTGGCCAGATTCCAAAGTGAGGAAAGCGTGCCAGATCACACTGCAGGGTCAGCCAGTGGCCAGATTCCAAAGTGAGGAAAGCGTACCAGATCACACAGCAGGGTCATCCAGTGAGCAACCCTGGAGCAATCGGGATTAAGGGCCCAAACTTCGATTTGATTACTCTGCAGATGAGACACAAACCCAAAACCTTAAGGACATGGGATACGGAACCCACAACCTTCTGGTGGGCACAGATTCTTAATCCCCTTAGCTACACATTGCACCAGGTGGCAATTCTATAAGATGTATGAATGGGTTACTGGTGTACTAAGGCCAGTTCTTTGTCCACAGGGTGTGTTCGTCCAGCTGGTGCAGGCCAACACCGCAGCTGCCCTGGCTGGGCTGCGTTTCGGGGACCAGGTGCTGCAGATCAACGGGGAGAACTGTGCCGGCTGGAGCACGGATAAGGCCCACAAGGCGCTGAAGAGCGCCTCAGCTGAGAGGATAGCGCTGGTGGTCCGGGACAGGTAGCCCCGCCCCCTCTATGTCTCCCCACCCCCTCCTCGTTACTCACGGTTAAGCTGACGACTTCGCCTCCCGCCACGCTTAGGCCATTCGAGCGCACCATCACCCTGCACAAGGACACCAGCGGCCAGCTGGGATTCATATTCAAGAAGGGCAAGGTGACCTTCATCGTGAAGGACAGCTCCGCCGCCCGCAACGGGCTCCTCACCGAGCACCATATCTGTGAGGTCAACGGCCAAAACGTCATCGGGCTCAAGGTGAGCCCTGCGGTGCCCGCTCACTCTATTACCCAGACTGCATGCCATTTTCCAGTGGCGATTCCACAGAGCCATGCTACAGACATCCACAGAGCTGAAATTCTCTTTATGTAGCAGATACCATTTATCTGAAAAAATGGGGATTTGAACTGACGACCTTCTGATCACAGACATAATCCACTGAACCACACACTGCTCCTTAGTCTTCAATAATGAGAGGTGGACTTCATACCTTTAGGGTTGGTGTTTCTATCCCACCTCTGTGCTCTGTGATGGGCAGGAATCCCAGTCCCCTTGACCCTAACCAGGAAAAGTTGTCAGAATATAGAGGAAGGGACTTTATATATGTGTGTGTCTGTCATCGAGAAATAATTAAATATGATGGGAGGTTCAGCAATGCAGTTTGTCAAAATAAATACTTTGGGTCTAACTGTGAATTTTTAATATAGTTTATTCTGTCATAGAGAATAATTTTCAATCCAAAGTGCTTAGACCAGGGGTGGCAAAGGGTGTGTATGTGGATTTTTGCTGCAACTTCCTAATTAGAGGACTGATTGGCTGAAAGAGTCCTCACACCTGGGTTTGAACAGCTGACCTACAGTTTATCCCAAAAACCTGCATACACACCGGCCCTTTGCGAATAAGATTGGCCACCTCTGGCTTAGACATACATAAAAGCAGAACATGTCTTATTCACTGAACTTTGACACAGATACGTATTAGTCAGACATCTGTGATGGATTTTGGAGACTTAGACAATCCTTGATATGCACCAGTTCCCATAACGTAAACCCACACATGTGATACTCTTCCCAGTCACAGATAATGCTCATCTGATGACTCATCTATCTAGCTGGAAATACAACTAACACAGTTCCTGCCGGTTAAAATCCTTTCATCTGTCCATCTATCCATCAACAGGATCCACAGATTTCTGACATACTGAACACCAGTGGAAATGTGGTCACCATAACCATCATGCCTGCCATTATCTTTGAACACATGATGAAAAAGTAAGTACTTACAGAACTGGCCCGCTGATCTTATCCATAGTGAGGCAGATAGTACAGTGTACAGTGTAGCCAACCACTGAACTGGTATAAACACCAAACCCAAATTAATCCAAAAACCTTCAGAGAATCCATAACTTGATGTTTGTAATTGAATTATCTACATAACTGCCTTATTTGCAGTGGTTTTTTTTTTGTGAACAAAGTTATACGTTTGCTGGTGTCTCCAGTAAAGCCTGCAGACTCAGAGCAGTTGCCTGTCCACTCAAAGTGAGCCCTACTGACCTTATAAAAGGGGAAGGTTCCAGTTTCCTGAGAAACAGACCCCAAAATTGGTGTTGTGGTGGCTCAGTGGGTAGCCAAAGATCAAAGATATTTTTATTGTCAATTAGCATTTTATGCGCAAGACATACATGAGAACTGAAATGCCGTTTGTCGCTCACTGGTGTGCAGACCGTACAATTACGAAATTATAGACATACTATACAAAAAGACAGATAACAAGACACAGGACACAGGACCCCCCAAAGGACATGGGGGTTTGAATTCCAACCCCCAAACTGGTTTCCTCTGGATTTTGTGGTTGCATCCTTAAGTCCAGTGACGTGAGGTGAATGCTGAATCAGCATCTCCATGTTTTACTGTAGCTTGTGAATGTATGTTCATGTGGTTTAGCATCCTGACATGTTTGTATAAGAACCCTATGTTTCTTGGAGATAATATTGACCTTCTATGGTGGGATCCTCCTGAAGATCATGCTGATGTCCCATCTCCTATCACAGGATGTCCTCCAGCATCGTCAAGAGCCTGATGGACCACTCCATCCCGGAGGTGTGAATATGCAGCCCCCCCCAGCTCTGCTTTCTGCCTAGAGACAGCTGACAGGTCACATGATCACCACGTGAGAGCTTCTGGCCTAGTTTCACAGAAGCTCCCCTGCAGCGCTTCTGAAGGCATCGTGGGCCCGAATCCACACACAGAAATAGGTGTTTCTGCAGTGCATCATTCTTCGCCATTTCGCTAAAGCTTGTATGTATTTCGCTCTTTCGGTGGCTGTGAACATTAAAAAAAAGAAAAACAAAAATGCTGTGTGGTGTTTACGTGCTGAATCTTCATTTATTTATTCATTATCTAGAGTGAAGAGCTCGTAATTTCGAAATAACGCACCTTTTAAGAGATATCGTTTTTATTTCATTAATGAATTTAAACTGTGACTTTCATAGAAGTTGGTTTATGAAACATGAACCTGGCTAAGATGTGAATGCATGTCATATTCAGGCTAACCGGCTCGTATCTCGAGAACTTTAACTTAAAGCCATTTACGGAAGCCTTGCTGTTTTGTTGATGTCATTTTGTAAATATTTAGGTGAATTTTGATTCCAGGAATATAACGGAGATGTTGGAGACGTCTGATGTTCACTTACTTGTGGATCTTTTTCTCCTATTTGGTAATTTAATTCCGAAATACAACTCTGGGCTATTTAACTATATTGATTTTGTTAAGAAACATAGTTAATAACCTTCCATGTACTCTAAATGAGATGGATGAAATCATTAAAAGTCAGATGTTTCTGAGAAAACAATCCTGTGTCAAGTTTAGAATTTCTGATGCTTATATGCCAAGAGGTTTACAGCAATGGGGTAACAATTTATACATGCTTTCTGGGATTGGAAGGCACAACTTTTGCTTGCCAACACAATAGTCTACATGTTGAGCTTTCAGACCCTATTTTCATACTCAGATTGACTATTGTGGTGTGAAGTTCTGCTTCCAGCATGTCCCTCAACCGAAGAAAAGGTTTAAAAATGAATGAGATAGAACAGTCCTTTCCACTGGCTTTTATATTTAATCATACTAGAAGAATAGTGGTGTCTGGTGTCGGTTCTTGTAAAGAACCTCATGTTCTTGTTTGTCTCACCTGAATGGTGTATTCAGGGTGGGGTGGATCAGCAGCCAGCCCTGCAGCCTCACATTTCTTGAGCCATCGGGTTCAATCCCTGTACTCAGCTGTGTGTGCGCATGTGAAATTTGCATGTTCTCTCTCCTTCTACAGTCCAAAATGCACTCAGGCAACTTGGTACCTCTGAATTTCCCATAATGCAACTGTGGTTGTTGTGTGTAGTGGAACTGGTTTTCAGTGCCAACACCAGGGCATTTTTAGCTAAGTGCGTGAAATAACGAACACCGTACTTTCTTAAATCATGTAATAATTACGACTATGATTTGTGTACATTCATGCAGATGTGGGAACATCTAAAACCATAGCCGTGTCATATGTGCGTTTGGAAAAACTACGTTCCTCATTCTCTGCATCGAAAATGAGTGAAATGAAAATGGAGAGGGGGGGGCTGTGGCGCTGCTGGAGGGCAGGGGGTGCCCTCCCTAGTGACCTGTGTTTACCAGGCTAGGCTCCCTTTCATGTAAAACCATTATTATATTAAGAGACACGAGTTATCAAACCCCTTTGTGCCCTGAAACTTAAAGAGACAACAGGGAACTGGGTGTATGAGCATGTAATTCTGGTTAATCAGGGACACCTGCAGCGCCCAAAAGCCTTACGCCAAGGTGCCTAGCAACCTCTCTACATATAATGAGAAGGTTGCCGGTCACATCTCAATTGGACCCCCCATCCCCGAAAAGAACAATGTTCCAGGGTTACTGGATCACCCCCAGCTTTGCCCTCACCTGTATATATGTGTATGTCTGAAAGCAGCTAAAGAGCATGATGGGATATGAAAAAAACAGAATAAATTTCTATGGTCCTGTGGAAATGGCAAATAAAGTTTCATTTGAATGATCTCCTCCACTCTCATGATGGATCAAGTCAGCCAGTATCCTCACAAGTAATGACATCAGACAGCAAAAGACAAATACCTGTGTTTCTGTTTAATTCACAGGCATCAAAGTTTTATTAAGCATGTATATGGGGCCCTGTTAGAATAAGCATGAAGACTCCAGCACGGTGCCCCAGAGTTTATATTACATCATTTATAAAATACACAACCCACGCCATCTGGAAACTGATACTGAAACTCAGCAGAAGACAGAATATATTTATATGTATATTTATATACAGTGATATGCAGCAACACGTTGAAGCCCTTCCACAAATATTTCTGACTCATTCATCTACCGCAGACGATTACCTTTCCAAAGTCTGATGTTGCTTTGTGGTTGATTCATTTTATCCAGCGTTTAGTCGAAATTCAATATTGTTGTTTAGTGAACTAGTTCTAGTCATACAGTTAGGTATAGGAAAACTCATTTTTGTTCAGCTGACAGTGATATATATGGTCAAACTGCAGTGCTCAACCCACTGCGGACTGCACTGCTAGGACAATGGTCAGATGTTTCACGTTCATTCCAAAAAATACCAGCTCAGCCTTAGCATGCATAATGACAGTATGGAAGCTGGCAAAACACACTCATGGTTAGTCAGTGTTTACTGAAAGGCATCTGATCTACTTAACAGGCACAGCTGAACAGCATTAAACATCAATGCAGTTAGCAAACAATGGCGGTATTTATTTGTTTACTTAAATTCTCAGTGGATTAAAAGCTGGCACACCTAAATCTGACGTTAATTAGCTAATGTGAGAATGACATTACCACTCCTGCAAACAAACAGATAGTTAAGTATTCATCTATAAATTCAGTAACTTTTCTTTACGTGCGTAATGACGGGAAATTGGGATTTTCCGAATGGCGTACCGTGGGATAGGAGGATTGTCACCTCATCCAGAGCTACACACCCTACACCGTAAGATTGTAACCTTGTCATTTTAAAGCCATAAACTTCTGGTGGCAACAAAGTTTCATATAAAACAAAAGTAAGAACAACCCTGTAGGCAGAGATCTTGTCTAGAAAACTAGTTAAGCATGGGAAATAAAATATTACTGCCTCCTAATCCTGTCTTTACGTACATACTGTTAATTTAATAAGCATTTATGCCAGTAAAAAGAGAGGAGCAGTGTTACTCCACTGGATGCTAAAGCTCTAAAGGCTTTTATTCGGACTTATTCTGATAATATCCTTCACGGAAAAAGGTGTAACCCCGCCCCCCACCCTCACCCTCACCCTCTCCCTCTCCCTCTGAGGATCGTTTTTAACGGAAATTAAGGCACACTTCAAGCAGAGGAAAGCTCAACAGGACCAAACGAAGCCAAACGAAACCAAACAGAACTCACAAAACTGAACAAAATACAATGAAAAAACAAACAAACGGTTTCTGTAGGAACAACACTGCGCACATCATATTGACCGCAATTTAGTGCAAGTTACTTGGGAATCATTGAAAATAAAATTAAGTATGCTTTTATGTGTCAAGTATCTATCTGTTACATGTTTTATATAAATTCTTCATTTTAAAGCTGTAGATTAACACTTCTGCAGTGACTTAATACAGCCTATTTCATCAAGCGGTACACCTGATTTGTCTGTTTTAAAACACGGTCCTGAAGGATGATGGGATATGACAGTCTGGGACTCATCAATACTGGGGTTTCCAGAAGATGAGGTGCTTGTCTTCGCCTCCTGTGATGATGCTGCTACATTGTTCATTCATCCACATGGCTGTCACCGGGCCTGTGGGGGGTGGGGTTTGGGGGGGCAGTGTTATCACAACCACAGGAATCATTTGAGCTACAGTCACCACTCAAACCATTCATTTGTGTGGGTTTCCAAGGCTTGGCCACAAACAGTTGTGTGCAGCCCCCTGTTGGCCACCAACAGTCACTACACTACCCTAAACATTAAATAAACATGTTACCTACATAAATAAATACATTTCATGCTGAAGCAGCATGTTCTGATAACCAGCTACGGTTTTCTGACCATAGCTGCCAGCCATTTCGTTTATAAAACATCTGAAGAGGGTTAGGGAGGATTGAAGCGACTTGTTTTTTAGGCTCCAGAAACAGCAAACTCAGCAAACCCATTCCTGGGTACATTACACATATACACTTGATACATGCAGCCTTTCGGACGCCGGACTCTTCTGTATGGGGCCTTATTTATCATCATACCTGAATGTCCGGGGATTCTGTGCGTGACCCTCCCGGCCATGATGTCCCACACGAGAAGGTCGCCCGTCCCCCCCCCTGACAGGACCGTGTTTCCGTCCCAGCAGAAACACCTAAGCGGGCAGCCCAGGAACGGCAGAGAAAGGCGGGGTCAGTTTCAGGTCACCAGCGCTCACTCGGGATTCAC